TTAGTATTAGCAAAATTTTGAGTAGAAGATGAAGAAGTTGTTGCAAAAGAGCTATTATCTGTAGTAAAAAAAATAGCTAAGTCTAAGTAACTATAATGAATAGCCTTATTATCTTGAAAAGTTGCATCATTATTAAGCTAATAGGAGTTGTTAGAAACTTTGTATTGAATTGCTAACTAGCATTTTTTGCAAATATGTTGATGAACATAAGGAGTAGAAGAAGGAGGAATACTTTCTGTAGCTTTAGAAAGATCATTAAGAAGCTGTTTAGTTCTCTTGTTGTTAGAATTTGTAGTAATCAGAGTAGAATTAGCAATAGTTTGAGTATAGACTTAGTTTTTACTAGCAATAAACTTGGTGTAGTATTTGTTGCAGAGACTAGTAGAGATAGCAGTAGATTCTGGAGCTAGAAGGAAGTGGATATTTTGTGTACTACTATTAAGACTTCTAATAAAGCAAATATTTAGTTTACTTTGAACTAGTAGAGGGCGAATAATATCTGAAGACTCTTTAGAAAAGGCAACTCCAAAACTACTTCCATATTTAAAGTAAAAGTAATCAAGGTCAAAAGTATCTAGATTAGTAGTGCTTAAAGTAGGCATTTTAATATATAATTAAAGTTTTAAATAATATGTATTTTAAATAAATTTGTTGACTTAATTTTGAAAATTAAGTAAAGTTAATATTAGGTCAAATGTTATCAGAATTTTGGAACAATTCTAGTTCAAATTTTTGGTTAAGGATGACCAAAACTTATGACTTAATATAGAATAATTAATTTAATATAGTTAAGGGGATTTGGTAGTGATTTGTGGTTAATTTAGTTTGTACTAATTTAGTATTATTTCACTAAACCAATGTAACAATAATTGTATAATGAGATTTCTAAATCAGTATGTATTTTATTTATAGAATAAAATCTAATTTTGGGTTCATACTAGGTGTAATCTAATGTTATACAAGGAGCACCTAGTGTTTTGAAGAGATATAGTAGGTTTTAGAATAGTAAAAGTTTTTAACAAAGAGCAAAAGACAATTTTTGAGCTAGAGAAGTCAATTTCTGCTCAAATTTGATGTTTTATAGCTTGAATTGAAGCTGATAAAGAGCTTAGAAACTTATTTTAGTTGTTTAAAAGAAAGCTTTGGAAAACTTCAAGAAGTTTGATTTTTGGCCTTAGGTCTGCTAAGATAATTTTCTTAGCAAGTTTTTGAGATATAATCTTAATATTCTAGAATTATATATAATTTTGTGAGCAGCCAAGTTTACTTAAGAGTCTAAAGGCAGTTGTCTTAATAAATTATTGAGAAAATTGCAATTTTATATAAACAGGTTTAGGAATAGTTTGTACAATTGATAAGCAGAAAGAGTTTTTTCTTAAAACTATCTTTATTATTCATTATTAAGGATATAATATATAATTTTGTTAGTATTAAATTATTAGCTAAAATAGAACATCTTAAAAAAGAAAAGCTAGAGGTTAAAGTTATATCTAATAAGTAAAAAAATCTTTTTAACAATTCAAATATAAAAACTAAATACTTATATAAAGATATTTCTAAATATATAATATAATAATATAATTATTATTATAATAAATAAAAGTTCTTAATAGATATTAAAGAAATTGATGATATTAAAAAGAATAATAATATTAAAGATATTAAAAAAATTGATAATACAAATAATATAAAAGTAATTAATCTTAATAATAATAAAAATTATATTTCTAATGATAATTATGATATCTTAAACTCTTTTATTAATAATATATATATTGATAGTAAGAAAAAATAAAAAATTTATTAATATGCTAAGTTTTAAAGTCCTATATATAATAACAAATTTATTTTTTATATTAATATATCAATCTTGAAATATATAAATAAATAAACTAAACTATATATATCTTATTTAATAAAATACTCTGTACTTTAAAAATACAAGCTTGATAAAATAGAAATTAATTCTAATATATTTTTTGAATAGGTCTGTTCTATAAAAATAGGTTTAATACTGTATATTGAAGAATATTTATTAAGATTTATTTTTTACTAATAAGCAAAAAGTGTATTTAATATAAATATTAATGAGCCTACTTCAGAAAAAATAAATGTAATTGCTAGAAAAAGATAAGGTTAACTAAATCTAATTATACATTTTATTGCTACTAAATATTATTTTCTATTAGTAAATTAGAAAATATTTATAAAAAAGATAAAAGTATAAATAAACTTTTAACAAATATTGAATAGCAATAGCTATATATATTAATTAAATAGAGAATAAAAATCAAAATTAATAAATTTTATTATAAAATACTAGATAATCTATATTTTATATTTATAACTTTTTATTATTTATTAATAATTGAAGTAGTATTGTTAAATAATAATACTTTCTTAGATATTTATATTATTAATATAAAATTAATTGAACAAGTTCAAATATTTAAATAATATATTAATAAAATAAATAACTTCAACTTTTAATTGATATATGTATTTATGTTGACAATTATCTAGTTATATTTGATCAATATATTGAGTATTGAATAGATTACTTAGAAAAATTAATTAAGTATTATATAAATTAACAAACTGTTTCTATATTGCAACTTAATTAAAAACTATAGAATTATAAATATTAAATTTTAAATTTGAAAAGTAAAATAAATAATTTAGAGAAAAGGTATGTAGTATTATAAAAATTTATCCAACTGATAGTATTTTTTTGAATTTTTAATAAATATAAATTTTAATATCTAAGCAAAACAGAAATGAAAAATAAAGTTAATTTAAAAGAGGTATATAAAATTGTATATATACAATTACAGTTTTCAATAAAATATTTTTAATATTGCAATAAAATATAATTTTTATTTTTCTAGAACAAGTATCATAAAAATGAAAAAATTAAAGATTTGTTAACTGCTTTATATAAAATTTATAATTTATTTGTATATTAAAAAAATAATTACTTTGATAGCAAATTTTATCAATAATTATTTTGAATTATTAAACATAAAAATTAATTTATTAGAACAAAAAATACAAGCAAATTATAATTTAAACACTTAATAATTTAAAAACTTTATTGATCTTTTTGAATCAAAAATCAATTCATTAAATCAAAAGATTCAAAACAATATTTCAGAAATTTATGATTCAAGCTTTCAATTACCTAAAGAATTTTATAATAATTGTTTTGAATAATAATTAATCCATTGGGCCAAAAAGTACAAGATAATATTTTAAAAGCAAAAAATCAAATTTACAATCAGATCCAAAATGAATTCAATAAAAAAATATATGAAAAATTTTACAATTGTTTTGAATTATTAAAGATAATATTTTAGAAATGAAAAATAAAATTCATGATTAGATTCAAGATGAATTTGATAAAAAAATTAAGAGTATGTTTTAGAAAATAGAAATACGTAAACAAATATATGATCTGAATATCCAGTGTCAAAGATTATTGGACTTGATAATAATTTAATTTGTGAACAAAACTGCATTGTTACTTCACTAATAGGTGTGTAAATTCAAACCTATGTTTTATTCATATAATAGGTCAAGTGTTGAAAAAAAATACTAATATCTATCAAGTTAATCAAATAAAGAATTCACCTTACTGTATTTTATTAAATTAAAATTAATAATATTAACTCGATCTGCATTTATTATTATTTTGGCTTGAACTTTCTTGCGAGTTATAATTTATTTTATGAAATAATTAAAACGTTAAGTAAAAAGTTCTTATAAAAACAAGTTATCGATTAAATCATTTATGACATTTTAATGTTATATTTTGTTAATTAAAATCTTTTATTAAAACCTATTCGTCTAATACTATTTGTTGCAACAGCTTGAAAATAAAATAAAATAAAATAAAATAAATTGGATAATAAAACTGCTCGGAAACAATTATTCATTTTGAGTATTATTTTTTAACTATTCTCTACAAATCAAACTTGTTATTGAATGAATTTACTTATTACGATAAAATTATTCTGACCATTTTTTAGCAAGTTATTTTGAAAGTTAGTTTAGGTTACACGAAGCAGGATAACATTCCTAGATGTGATTTTTGAAGAATCCTTTTTAAGTAATAGTAATGGTTTTCATTTTTCCATTTGTAGTAGGAGTTAATGTTAAGACCAAATTACATGCAAGTCGCACCAGCGCGAGAAGAACATGATTGTGTGAAAAATTACATTGACGTCATAATTGAGAAAATTTGTCGTGTAAATATTACGTATATGACCTAGGCGTAACGATTATACAAAGCAGAGAACAATAAGAAGGCCTAACAAAAAGGAAGGCGAATTACAATCACATGACAATTACAAATTATTTACCCTATTAAAAAAAATTAAATCATATTCAGACTTTGCTCGGATTATTTTTTTACGAGATGAGCATTTTTCGTAACAAAAATCTATACAAAACCTTTAAAAATTTCAAATTTCCTGAATATTTCAGAATATGTCACACGGAAGACTTGAAGGTTGAGCGACTGACTCGCCATTTTCAAACATAACACTATACTAAAAATAGATCCAACGATAAAACAGACGAATTACTACGTCAGAGCGCAGTTTTTCGGAGAGAGTCACGTATTCCATAGCGATCAGGTAAAAATAGTTTGTGTTTAGATACAATAAACATTTACACGTTGATTATTCAAGAAGAGGATGACCATATCGTAGGTATAGAAAAGGAAACTGATTAAAATGTAAATAAGTCGTTATGCTTTATATAAAACCTCCGAGTTACTTCTGATCCTTAAGTTCTTTTTAAGTGATCCCTCATCTATAAATAAAGACTTTGAGTGATTCTTATTTATATTTTAGTAAGCTTGTAATGAGTTCCTCGCTTACCTTCTATTGTATTTGAATTGTGTATATTGATTAGTATTATTATTGACTTATTCGTAATATCAATACACTAAAGATATAATAATTTTTTTTTAAAATTATGCAATTTAATTGGTTAATTCATTGAGCAGGACGAGCAGAGTGTGCAGAACGAGCAGAGTGTGCAGAGCGAGCAAATGCTGAGTTTATTAAACCGAATTTTTTGGGACATTGAAGCTAAAAAAGAATCAACTCTTGTGTGACAATTGCTCATTCCTAATTATTGATAGTTTGATAACTCACCTAAACCTAATTCAAAATCTGTTGTATTTGTAACAAGAGGTGGACATCTCAAATTTCATAAAATAAGAATTGTAAACTTTCACTTCAGCTCCAACTAATTTAATGTACACACATTAGATATTTTTCATTAGTTTAATAAACAAACATTCCGGCATGTTAGCGAAATTAAGCAAACAATTAGTCACCAAATCTAATCATTTGGTCCCAAAATTAGATTTTAGTTACCAATTTATATATTAATCGATCAATGTCAAACTTTTTGAACCCCTGATCTGTACCGATAACGAGTCTAACCCATTTTCTCACAGGCCGTCGCATCTCATTAGACATAAGAATTTATTAAAATGACGCATCATAACTTGGGGAATGTTGATTATCTCAGTAACTTCTATATTTACATATTAGTAGTCAAATTTTTCAAATTTTGGAGCATTTCGAAATTCGCCGTGATGTCATGCGTTAATTATAACAACGAAATAACGCGCAAGGGTATATTTTCGAATTTTAGCCTAAATTAAGCTTAATTCGGGTCATTATTCGAGGTTATACCATGTGCGTTATTTCACAGTTTTACGATAATCACATTAAATTTATACAGTAAATACAAAACCTTATGCATCTCCTAAACTGACACACTTATATAATAATTTTAATTCAATTAAATTCAAGTATTTGTACATAATATACATGCTCATGACCATACACTACATTTAAAAGAATTGTTACAAAAACTAATATTCTACCAAATAAAATGTATAAAATAACACGTAAACTAATATTGCCTGATCAAAACTCACTCACACCAGAGAAATCCTTGTTAATTATAATGACTATTATTCCCGCTATACTGAATTAAAATATTCAAATAAATCAAATATATAATAATATTTATATAGTTAGACAAATATTAATTATTTTGACCATTTTGATTATTTTAATCATCTTGATCATCTTGATCAAGTTTTGATTCCATTTGAATTGCTTCCAAAAGAACAGGTGAGATATATGGTTTATAAAAACCTGGCCAATTGTTATTTTGAATTTGCCTAACCACTTTACGAAGTTCATCTAAATGAGCTTCAAAAAAACTTATATATAAAGAGAAATTGTTAAAAAATTTTCAAGATATAATTAATTTTTGATCATAAAATTTAACTTACATAATTTCTGGAAAAAAATCCTTTTTTTGTTTTTGATATGGTAGTAAATAACTGTGTTCAATTTTGTATAAAGTCTTTAAATATATTATGTATAAATGTTAAATAATGATATATTAAATTGTGAATTTCAGAATTTAAAATTTACCTCAGCTTTATTACGTAAAAAAGAATTTTTGTTGTTTAAATCACTAATTTTATTGCTAAGCACTCCAATAAACAAATTCATCATATAAATAGTAATAAAAAATAAAAATCCAATTAATAAAACTATCAAAAAAATCCCGCTAAAAGTATTTTCAAATTCTTTTTTATCGGTTGTATATTGCGAAATTATATCCGAGTTACCTATTTATGTAATATTAATAAATTAAGCAATTATTAATCTAATAAGATGATAATACTGTATTAATGCAAATTAATTAATAAGCTATCATTTTTTTTTAAAAAATAAATAAATAAATAAATAAATTACCGGTTAAAGTGGTATATGGAATAATAATATAATCTATTAAATTCCAAAAAATATTTGATTCATCCAAATTATTTAGTTTTAATAAAATATGTAAAGTACTTGTGAATAATATTATAAAAAATCCAAGTATGACCAAAAAAGGAATCACTTCATCGAATACACCAAATATAATTGCGAACTCAATTCCAAAAAATTCAAAAACGTGAAGGCTAAACAAAATTTTTAACTCAAACCATAAAATCGCACTAATAATAATTGCACTAAGATCAGCATAACCAAAATAATTATTAATAAAAAAAACCCAGCCTGAATACAGTTCTGAATTTTTGTAAATAATTATATCAATTGCTGATATCATAATAAAACTTGTTGCCATAGTATCAACTGAAAAATAGTAAATAATGTTAAATTTTGCACAAAAATAATTATTTTAAATTCTTAAACATACCCAAAAAATGTCGCTTATTTACTCCTTTTACAAATAATGCAAAAAACAAATCTATTATATAATATATTAGTGTAGTTATGCTGACAATAAGCAGTAGAAATAATCGAACAATTGTTGGAATTTGATCATAAAACATAACAGTAAATACAAAAATAAGAAGACAAAAAATATGAATAGATAAGTGTCCTATATGAAAAGCTCTTCCATATGTATTCCATTTGTAAGCAATAAATGCTTCACCAATCCATAACTCATATAAAATAGTCTTTGGTGAAAAAAAAAAAGCATTTAATTGAGGTTTTAGATGAAAACCAATAAGCTTATTAATTCTAGTTAAAATATTATCAGAACTTAATTCTTTCTTAAAGCTATAACTAGTATAATTAGAAAGTTTCATTAAAGGAAAAGCCATTTTAACAGTTGTTTTTTTTTGAATTGTCATTTTGTTTCGAAATATTCCAGTCCACATATCTAAAAACGAATTTAAAAAATTTTCTATTTTAAGAGAAATTAAAAAAATATCAGAAATATTAGGGTATTCGCCAAATTTTTGAAGATGGCTAGAAGTAGAATTTATGTTAATTATTTCAGATAATATATTGTCAGGAACAAAAAAGGCTATTCTAGATAAAAACCAATTAATAATCTCAGGATATTGGCTTAATAATGCAAAATTATAAGTAACTATTTTCATTAATGGAAGATTTGAAATGAAATTTCCATCACTATTTTTAATAGTAAAATTAATTATATTTTTTAATAGATTTTCAACAGATTTGAATTTCTCTTTTTCCAACAAATATTCCATTAGATATTCTCCATAAAGGCTTAATTTAAACCGTGAATTATTGTAATCTTCAGCCATTAATTCATTAAAATCATGTTTTTTACAATTTTCTGTTTTGCATCCAAATTCTGGAGGGGGTAAATATGGGAAATATTTTTCATATTTCTCTTTAAATGATGATGGACTGCTCCAGAAATAATTTAATCGTATTTTTGACTTTGTTTTAAGATTAATAATAGTCCAAATATATATATTTCCACTTGAACAATCCTCATAATCATCCTTCATCTTAATTAATAAATCATTATTTCTTAAAAATTTAATGCTTTTGATTCCTGTATATGGTATATCAATTTTAATGTTAACATTATTATTATAAGATAATAAAATCTTATTTTGATCATGTTGATTATTTTCGATACTCCATTTTCCTTGATGCAAAATGGATTCATCATTCTTGATTTCATTGAATACTTCTTCTGCAACTAAGTTAGAGTTTATATTATTAAGTTTGTTCTTCCAAGATTCGGGAAATTTTTGAACTCTTAATGTATTTTCATTAATACAAACAATCATACGATAATAAATTAAATATGGTTGTTTTAATTCTAATTCGGATATTTCCTCTGTCTCTTTATGATATTTCTCAGTAAGAATACATGTGTAAGGATATTCAGATATTTCTTTATTGTACTTTTCAGTAAAAACATAAGGATCCAATAAATCGAAATTATAATCCTCATTACATTTACATGTGACAAGCAAAAGTTCTCTACCTTCGTATAAAAGAAAATAACACTTTGCTATATCATAATCAACTTTATCTAATAAATATTATTAACAGTAAAATTAGAACCCCATATTTTCTAGTCATTGAATAAAAAAAAAATAAAAAATAAAAAAAAACAAATATAACTTACGCATTGATATCATAACCTGAAGTTTAGTCGAATATATGTATATAAATTTATTGAACCAAATAGCCAATAAAGTTGCTTCATCATTTATAACTAAGTTATGTGTGCAACCAATCTCCCATTCCGTAGTCAAATAAGCAATAAATTCCAAAGTTATTGTATTCCATGCCATGATAATGTGTGTATCATGTTTGTATATAAACATATTTCCATTATTATGAAGCACAATATGATCTTTCGAATAATTATAATTTGAGATTCTAAATATTTTTTTACGTTTTCCACATAACTCGAATATATAGCCTGTAATGCTGTTAGTATCAGCATCATTCTTAGAAGTTTTTTCTCCCCTGACAAGTAAATAATAATCGTCATCATTAACTATAAAACTACTTTCAATTATTTCTTTTTTATTATCGCAAGGTTTTAAAATTTTTACTTCGTGGCTTTCCAATGCAAAAAGTGCTGTCACATAAGAATTTGAAATATAGGAATTTAGAAATTATGATTATATTAATTGAAGATTGTATTTTAAGGCATAGTAAATGCAACAGATAGAATAGATAAGAGAAATCAAACTTGGGCTCTTAAATTTATAGCATAAAGATTCAGTCTTTAAAAAATTTATACAATGAATCCATAAAGTCATTAATTTAAAGCAAAAGTCAAATATGCTAAGCCAAATAAAACTGCAAAGCTTATTGTTTACTCAATTAAAACCTGATCAACGACAAATATTTTATTACATATAATATGGGATTGTCATTCTGATTTTATTGTTTACATTGCAACTTTAACTTATTCAGATTATCAGTGAATAAACTCGCACTAACTTAGCTTAAATTTTGAGAGATATCCTGAAGCCATTATCACACAAATATTTTCATCTAAGCATCCAAATAATAACTATAAATGTATCGAATTAGACTGCACAAATATCTTTTCCAATTTCGAACCTGAGCCTTTAATAAAGCTCCGGAATATTAGTAAATTTTAAAAATTCGAATTAGTAACATAGTAACTCTTTGAGAACTAAACCTTTTTTGATATTTTAACATATAAGAACGAACTGTTGACTGTATGTACAACACATTGGATATAATATTAGATTTATAATACAAGAATATTTTTTTCGAAAATCTATAGAATTCACAATAATGGCTTGTCTTAAAGTTCAGAACTTGGTTAAGTGCTATCATGTATTGATTGTTATTTCAGCTGTACTAAAGAGCAAATTGCCAGATTTTTAAGAACATTAAAATTATCGAGTATTGACCAATTGATTGGATGATAATTTAATCGCTAATTGAATTAAAACCTAAATTTCTTTTTTTATAAAATTCTTTCTGTTTAGGGTAAAGTGTAAATAGCTGTGTTTTAATTTAAAAAAGGTTTTTATTAAAAAAAAAAAATTGTAGGGACGCATCATAGTTTGTATTTAGCCCATCTTATAATGATTGTTTTTATTTAATGTTTCAGCCTCCAACATGAATTTTTTATATAAATATTTATAATATATACAATCAATTCAATCTTATTATTATTTCTTATCTTTATAGCTGCTAAACGTCAAAAACAAAAATATATTATTAGCACTATCGCTATTATGTTTAATACATATATGCAGAGCCAAATGAAGTTCGAAACTTAAATTTGAAGCTCGATCTTAACTTTCATATGATATTCGAACTTAGTTTCAAACTCTAACTTCTACGAAGCTAGACTAGAAATGGAGTAGAAAGTGTTACGAATTACGCGCACGCACGATATTTCGCCCATGTGCGTTATTTAGAGTCAAAAATGTAATTTTCAAAAAAAGGTTTCGAAATAACGCGTATATGCGTTATTACGCCCCAATATGGTACATGTAATTTTGGTCATTTGAATAACATCGAACGTATTTACCGTAACTGATACTAGTTGAGCTTTCATAATTTTGGTGTAAAAATCAATTGCCAGAACACTATTAATGTAAAGTTACATTCCAATTTCGTAAATTTCAATACAATTTATTTGTAACGTACTGTATATTGTAATTTATGTAATGCCAACCAGTGATGTAAATTGGATCGGTAGGCGCAGAGTACATAGTGTTAGATGACCTAACTGTAGGCATGTGATAAAGTGACCACGACCCTAACCAAGACAAAAAAAAATTATCAATACACAAAGTTCAGGCTTTAAATATTATCTTCATAATACCCTGGCTCAACTCTCTCACATGACTTTTATCAGGAGGAAATTTGCAACCAGTTAGTATATTTTAAACTCAGTATATTATGAAGTAAAATACACCGGTTTTTTTTACTATGTGTACATATAAAATGGGAAAGTATTATTATAGTCTTTAAATACAGTCAGGATATTACCCTTAAATAACAACCCAGATAGCTATTATAGAGTTTTTAAAATGTACATTAAAGTTTTTAAAATTATTAAACTTAA